GTATATGTGTGATGTGTGTGTGGTGCGTATGTGCATGTGGAGTGTGTATATGTCGTGTGTGTGTGATGTGTGTGTGTGTATATATGTGTGGTGTGTGATATGCATGTGTGTATATATGTGTGGTGTGTGATGCATGTATGTGTATATATGTGTGATGTATGTGTGTATATGTATGTGATGTGCATATGTGTGGTGTGTGATAGATATGTGTGTGTATATGTATGTGATCTGTGATATGTCATGTGTGTATGGTGTGTGATGTGCATGCATGTGTGTGATGTGTGTGGTGTGTGTTTATATGTGTATGTATATGTATGTGGTGTGTGTGTTGTGTGATTGTGTGTGGTGTTTGTGATGTGCATGCGTGTGTGATGTGTGTGTGTATATGTGTGGTGTGTGTGATGTGTATGTGTATATACGTGGTGTGTGTGATGTGTGTATGTATATACGTGGTGTGTGTGATGTGTATGTGTATATATATGTGGTGTGTGTGTGATGTGTGATTGTGTGTGGTGTGTATGATGGGCATGCATGTGTGTGTGATGTGTGTGTATATGTATGGTGTGTGTGATGTGTGTGTATGTGTATGGTGTGTGTGATGTGCATACGTGTGTGATGTGTGTGTGTATATGTGTGGTGTGTGTGATGTGTGTGTATATATGTGGTGTGTGTGATGTGTGTGTGTATATATGTGGTGTGTGTGATGTGTATGTGTATATATATATGTAGTGTGTGTGTGATTGTGTGTGGTGTGTATGATGGGCATGCATGTGTGTGTGATGTGTGTGTATGTGTATGGTGTGTATGGTGTGTGTGTATATATATGTGGTGTGTGTGATGTGTGATTGTATGTGGTGTGTGATGTGCATGCATGTGTGTGTGCTGTGTGTATATGTGTATGGTGTGTGTGATGTGTGTGTGTATATATGTGGTGTGTGTGTGTATGTGGTGTGTGTGATGTGTATGTGTATATATATGTAGTGTGTGTGTGATGTGCATGGTGTGTGTATATGTGTGTGCTGTGTGCATGTTGGCAGTGGTACTCTTTCCAGTGCAGTCAATGAGCTGCTTCTCCCTCCAGCTTGAGAGTAAACAGACCCTTGGAGCAGGGGTAGCAGCGAGCTTGTCGATACCGTATGCAAATAAATAAGTGCTAATTGCCTGCAGTGTCTTTGGGTGTCAGGTGCGGTTATCCAGCGACATTTATGGGCCAATTAGGCGCCTTACTGGACTTGAGTGCTGATAAATGGTGGCTTAGCGGCTTCTCGGGACGTGCTGGGAGCTCCCATGCTCACCGCCAGCACACACTGCAGGCTTTGTCCCCACACCCTGCACTGTCACCATCAGCCCCACTCACCTGCAGGTGGGGGCGGGTCAGGGGGCACCAGGGGACCCTGTGGGGGCCGGGCTGGGGGAGTCAGCTGAGGGAGGCCCCAGAGAGCCCCGCATATCAACAACCAGATCCTGGCTGTGGAACACGGGCCACGACTGAGGTTCTCCCACGGTGCCCTGGGACAGCTGGGGGCCATGAGAGACCTGGCAGGAAGTGGGGCAGGGCCGGAGTGTTGACCTGGGGGCATTCCTCCAGAACATTCTCCCTCCTTGGCCCTGTCACAGTTCTAATGAGGTTTGGTTTCTTGAAAAGCAGGATGACCCAAAGAAAATCATTGGTGCGCCTGGCCCCTTGGCGCCCAATGCCCCAGGCAGGGCCAGGCCATCAGTGTGCTGGAGTTTGTTCCTTTTCTCATGCCTTCATCCATTCAGCGGATATTTGGGCTGTGCCCAGGGCTCTAGGGGTGACACAGTCAGAACCAGGGCCGGGGGACCCAAGTGAGGTGCCAGAGTGGGTGAATTATCCCACAATGAAATGCAGGACCTTCTGTGATAATCCCAGTAAGGGGCCAGGAGTGCAAAATGTGAGAGCTGGGGGCCGGACTGAGCCAGGCTTCGGGTGGGGAAGGCCTCTTTGAAGAAGGGACATTTCATTGGAGACCCCAAAGATGAGAAAGAGCTAGCCACAAAGAGTGGGTCTTCCCAGGGAGGGAACAGGTGGACCAAGGCCCAGAGCAGGAGAGGGGTCAGGAGGTTTGGGTGTGGCTGGAGCCGGGAGTGAGGGGCAGAGGGGTAAGAGGAGCAGGTGAGTGGGGTGGGAGGGCAGAGCCAGCAAACCCTGGGGCCACCTTTAGGATTGTGGGCTCCCTGTCAGAACTCTGGGGAGCTGTGAAGGGGTTTCAAGCAGGGGGTTGGCTGGGAGAGGGGGTATGGCGGGGACAAGAGCGGGCAGGGGAGAAGCCGTGGTCCCCTGCTGGGGGCAACCAGGAGGGAGTGAGGAGGACAAATGGAGAGCCCTTGGGGTTGGGGGTCCAGCAAGGAGGCGCCGGCTGGCCTGGCCTTCCGGATGGTTCCCAGCTCTGTGTGCCGAGACTGGAGTCTGTGCTGAGGCATCCATCTGACTTTTCCTTCGGATTCTGTAAATTATGGTTTCCCCTAACCCGAATACTTCCTAATTTTTAATCAATTTGTTTCATTAATTTATTAATCAATTCACCAATCATTTCTCCAATTTCAGTATGAATGAAAAATACATTAATAAAAAACCCAACCACTTTCTTCAAAGTCAATGGCAAACTGTGAGCTTTAAAATGTAACTCAAAATAACTTTTTAAAAATACACCCTTATAGAGAAAAGGTGGACAGTAAAATATAAAGGAAATAGAAACCATCCAGAACTCCCCAGAGACAGACGGTATGGATAACATTTTGGATTTTTTTTGGATATAAAATAAGGACATAGAAACATCTTTATTTAATAGAGGTCAGTCATACACACTTCAGTATCCTAAGTTTTAATTTACATTGTATCATTACATTGTATCATTGTATCATGTGACAAACACAATTTGAAATGACTCATTTGTGCAATGACTCATCTTCCCCTTTACAGATGTGCTGTAATTTAACTAATAAAATTATTTAATTTATTGGAGCTTGTTCCCCATATTTTGTTATTATAAGTACCGAAGTCACAAACAACGTCTTTTAAGAAAATGTTGAAGTGGTCACGTTACTCCTTGCCCAGATTCCTGGGCACTGATTCATTCACGTAACCAACACCTATTTACGGAGCCCCTGCTGTGATGAAGGTGTCCTCTAGGCCCTGCATTCCTGGGCCAGAAGGAAGATTTTCAGAGCCTTTGTACACAGTTCTGTACCTCTTTGCAGAAATGCTGTTTTACTGTCTTTCCACAAAGAGCATGTAAGCGACAGTCCCATTGTGGCCGGGCCAGCACTGTGTATGATCACTTTAAAAATCTTGGCTATAAAATCTAGACATTCAGCCTTGCTTTTTTTACCTTACCTACCTGGCAGATCTTTCCAGGACATTGTCTCAAGCACCTTGGCTTGCAAAGGTGAGAGATTCAGATCCCCACCCCGGGGGCCGGAGAAGCTGTGGTCTCCTGGGAGGGAGATGGACACTCAGGTTGACTCAAGAGTCCTGGAGGGAAGGTGGGGACAAAGTCACCGATGGGGTGGCCAGGACAGATGAGGAGCCGCTGGGCAGCAGTGAGGCGAGGAGCAGCCTGCCCACTGGGCATCTCCTTGGGGGAGCGAAGTGTTCTGTGTGTGGACAGAGGGTGCATTTGAATGTTGGGGAACCAAAGGATGGACGAGCAGAGACCTTGTTGTACTCTGCACCCACTCTCCACCTCTTCCTTACCACCACACCCACCTCACTGAGCCACTATGTGTCCCAGCCTCCTTTGTAGCCCTGATTGGCCCAGGCCCGTCTGCCCAGTGGTGTGTCAGTGGGGTCAAGAGTGGGGCTTCGGGGAACGCTGAATAAGAGGGCCTGATTTGGCTGCTCTTCTTGCCGTTTCTCTCCTTCCCACCTGGAATGCAGATGCTGGAGGGGGAATGGTCCTCCCTGGGTGCCAGGAGCCCCCACAGCGCCCATGAACGATGGTTGACCAGATGGTCTGGAGGAGGCTGGCCCCGGATGGCCTTCTGGAACTGTCCATGCCAGCCCTGGCCTGCCCACCTCCAGGTGTCTTCTCTTGTGAGGAAAAACAATCCCTTAATTTATTTAAGCCACTGTTTAGTAAATCTGTTAATCAAATACAATGGAGGGATAACAGATATCCATGTAAGTGGAACTGATTCCTCCTAAAAACACTTTTCTCTGTCTTTCTAATTATTTCCTAGAAGACAAGTAACCCTTGCGAGAGTCTGCATTTGGCCTGCTGGGTTTTGTGTGACCATGTCCGTGGGGGTTGCGTGACTGCGTGGCTGGGTGGGGTGCTGCATCCCATTCTGTGTTGGCACCTCGTGGTGCTGTGGGCTCCCCATGCCATGGGGAAATCTCAGCAGAAACAGAGATCAGGTGGCTCTGTATTCATCGTCATAGAAGAGTGCCGGGGTGGGGGGTGAGCAGACATCTGCCTGACTTATCTGTAAACGGAAGCCTCTGGAAGGTGTTCACCAAATCATTGACCGTGGTGATGTCTGAGTGGTGGCATTTTTGGGTGAGTTTGACTTTTCTGATTTGGCGGGTAAAGATATAATGTATTTTGCACAAGAAAATCGTAACAATATGAATATTCATGGTATTCATAGTAGCGTTCTGGCATGGTTTTACTTCCTGGCCACTGTTAAGTCTTTATCCCATATCTGGGCCAGTCAGCTCTAGTGTAAAGAGACTGCAGAAGCATCTGGAACCTCCAGGCCCAGACAATCCCTAGCTTGGGAGACCATGGCCTCTCCAAGGTTGTCGTAATTGAAGGAGTGGGTAAAAATGCCCGTGAGTGCAGCGTATGTGGGCTAATTCTCTCATGCATGTGGCTGCCTGGGGCTAGCACAGTCCCTTCCAGAAGCATCGGAAGCCCCTTTACTCTTTGAGTTACCTCGCCTGGAAACAGCAACCCTAAAATTAGTCATGACAAAATGACCAACCTTCCCCCCAACAAAAAAACAAAACGAAACAACAAAAACCTCCACAGCAGTGGTGTAGACATATTTTCATTTCTTTATTAGAAAGAGGTCTCTACACTATAGCCACCTCTCTTCATTACTTTACACATTTTTCTCTTTTTTTTTTTCCCCTTAGAATACTGTACAGCTGACACAAAAAAACCCCCAAGGCAGGAAAATACAAACTGGCATATTGAATCAAAACAAGATCATATGAAATAAGGAGCAAAGTGAAATGTCTGTCAATGGTTTTAATTACAGTACAAACAACATAAATAAAGCGTCATTGAGTCATTGTGAAACACAAACTTGCGGAATGAGGTAATATAAAAACCAAAAAAAAAAAAAAAACCAAAAAAAACCCAAACCCAACCCATCTCTGGATAAACCCCAGACTGCTCTTCCATCTTCTGTACATTGCTATTTACAGAAACAGGAAAACATGCTAAGAGGGTGTGTTGAGGCACGGCCTTCCCCGCTCCCTCCTAGAAATGCTCCTCACCTTTGACCTGCTTGGGCTCCCCTTTCAGAAACAGACCCCGTGGCCAGATGAGAAGCCAATTCGAAGTCACGGGGGACAGGAGAGTGGAGGCTGCTGTCTGGGGCAGGAAGCCACATGTCTGTGGTTGGGGTGGCCAACCCTTCCAGCCCCTCCCCTTCCAGGGCTCAGTGGGGGGCCTCTGATCTAGTGCTAAGCGGCACTCCCCCCAGCATTCGGGTGCTCAGGGTGGGGCAGGGGTTGCAGCCTCAGGAATTTGATATATTTTAGACCCAAAAACCCATTGGAGGAGGAAAACTGCGATGCTGTCCAAGGTTTGGAGAAGGCATTATTTCTAACATCAAGATGCGTGAACTGCCACAAAGCAGTTTCTAAACGTACCCGTTGCCCATCCGCCATGGGACACCCCGATCCTCACCCGAGTCCGCTTGTGCACCCCGGTAACAGTGGTGGTGAGAAAATCGCTGAGACCCCTGGGGGTGGGGCTGGGAGGCCCGTGGGGTGCTCAGTGAGCAGTAAGCGGGAACTAATTCCCCAGCCTGGCCCCAGCTCACGGCACCCGTGGTCCGTTCTGTCCTCCCCGCCCTGGAGAACCCAGGCAGGACATATGTTTTCTGATGGCCACTCAGTGCAAGGTCAAGCGCAGGGCTGAGAGCAATGGCCATCGGCTGGGCTGCCCATTAGTGTCTTTACAAGAGGCCTGTCACTGAGGATTCCTATGTACAGGTATGATACCACGGGTGGAAAGACCAGGGACGTCCGGACACAAGTAATCACTGAGTGAGCTTCTACAAGAGTTTTCAAACCAGCTCAGACATTAGTTTCCTGGGCCGTGGTGGACACTGCCTGGCACCTCGGAGATCAGCGCATAATCTGATTTAGGGGCGACTGTCCTGGACAGCGGGTCTGTTAAGGGGATTTGTTCTATCCCGAAGATTCCCCCAACACCCTGGAATCTTGCTTGGTTCCTTTCTTTCACCTGCATCTCGGGACAAAGGTCATGGATTTCCCACTGACAGAGAATTTGAGGTCAGTCCTAAATGGACTTTGACAGGCGAGTCTCTATCATCTGGCTTGATCATGACCCTCGGGGGGGGGGGGGGCGGTGTCCCTCTCTACAGATGCCACATGCCTGGCCAAAATAAAAAACAAGCCCCGAGCGGACCTCTCGTACATGTCGAGCGGCTGCTGGGTGCTGGGTGTCACGTGGCTAGAAGCCAGGGCTCATCTGTCCATTTCACTGGGGCCACTCTTGTCTGAAGACTTGCAACCTCCAGGGCCCCGGCCAGTCCCTGCTGGGCACGCTGGACCCAACCTACCCACCTCCGGGCCCCGGCCAGTCCCTGCTGGGCACGCTGGACCCAACCTACCCACCTCCGGGCCCCAAAGGCCGTTTGGATGGGATGAGGGCCTCAGACAAGAACATTTTTATCGATCAGGCGCAGCGCCCAAAACCCAAGGCTGTCATTTGATAGCAAAAATCAGCACTTCATAAATGAAACGCGGCACGGAGAGCTTCTCAGATTTGCAGGCTCCGCACCTACCCTTGCTTCGGGGAGGGTGCCTACTACACTGGGGAAACCAAAACCCTGCTAAAACCTGGGCTTTTTAAAAATCACAGATTAAAAACAGACTTTTCGGTTTTCCAGAATCTTCTACCAATGAAATGTGCTCCAATTTCAACTCTGACCCAAACTGAAGAACCCAAATGGAAGCAAGTGTCCACCCAGGTTTACAAAGCAGCAGACATCCAGCGTTCAACAGGGACTCTATTAACATTAAAAATAAATCTATTTAAGGACAGCTTGTCTTCTCTAAGGGGAAGAACATCGTGTTTTGGAAATACTCATGCCTAAGTTGTCACATGTTACTTTTTCCTCGTGAGGTGAGAGGTGAGGGTCCAAGGTGGGGGGCTGGCCTGCCTGGCACTGCTCTCTCTCATCACGGGGGTTCCCAGCGGCTACTTCTCGGCAGTGATGGAGATAGAAGTCTGAGCACAGCTTCCACCGACCCCACCCGGGCACCCCGCCCCTTCTCTCTGCTGCATAACTAGAAGGATAGGATGTTTTCACTGAGAGGCAACTGGATTCAGATGCTTGAATGACAAAGGACCCATGGGTGGGGTAGAGCAGAGCGGGGACAGACACCACCCCTCAGCAGCCCAGGTGGGTGGCCAGGCCCCCTGCCCACTGTGAGCAGCACACCTGGAGATCCCAGCCCAGCCGGGCCCTGCACTACACTCACTGAGCACAGGGCTTCCTGAAGAAAACCACTTGGGAGTCCAAGAAAGAAAGGTGTCGATCATGGCTGGAAGAGAAAGTTGCAAGTCTTGATGCCAAAGGCCCTTACTGAGCTTTCTGGTGAAGGATGAGCGTGGAAACCCCTTGGAGACTGGACTTCACAGTGTGTGAAACCCATGTTTGAGGAGGCAGTTCGAGAGAAATCCTACTTCCTGGGGAAGAGAGCTCTATCTCGTCAGCATGTTCCTACTGAGTTCCTTCCTGACCACTTTTCAGTCTTTTTGCTTGAAGGACATAAATACAATCCAGGGGAGTTCTAGAAAGGGCGTGCTGACCTTGTGGGGGGATGAGGGATGGAAACAGAGCAGATGTGGGGGGCAGGGTGAAGTGGCCCATCTAGAGGAAATGGGTTTGCTCTCCAAATATCCTTGCCTTTTGGGGAGTTTTTGAGACCTGACCATCCTTACTCTTAGAGGGTCTACATTGTTTCATGGCTTCTGAACATACCTAGGGGGGAATATGGATGTCCCCGTCTTGTTTCCAGAACATTCGAAACGCAAGGAGGAAGAGTTGGCAGAATTGGAGTCACGGGGACTCATGTGACCCGAGAGCACAGCTCGGTCTGGGGGTCGGGCAGGACCCAACGGCCACTCTTGAGGGGGAGGATGTGATCACAAAGTGGAGGCATAAAACAAGCTGAATGTCGCCCTTGAAAGGGACAAGAGCTGCAGCCAGGTGGGTACTCCTCATCCACTCGTGCAAGCTCAGTGAAGGAGACAGAGAGGCCATAAGCCTAAAGCCACACTCTGCCTGCCAGGGTGCTCTCCAGCAGGCCCTGAATTTAAGAGGAACTAGGAAAAGGACACTGAAACGAGGACCAATACATGAGGGTGTCACAGCAGCCTCTTGGTGACCAGAGGTGGCATCCGAAGGATGGGAGGTCTGTCCCAGCCAGCAACACAGCAACAGGGCGTAAGAGAGAGAAGGGTCATCTTGGGCCAAAAGCAAGATTAGTGAATGCCATGACAGTAAGACAACCCTCTCTTTGCCTCTGGAAAATCAAACTCAGACGAAAAGAAATGGAGGATAAATTTTGGTAAGCAGGCTGATGAGATGGTGAGTGGGCAGTCTGGGCTCTTTCCTCAGGGGAGAAAGGTGCTCCACAGGCGGGGACCCACAGAGCACCGACGGGCTCAGCAGAGAGAGAAGATGGCTCAGCACCAGAGGCTCAAATGGGAGGGCGGCTGGCAAATGTGCCATCACCGACTCCCAGAGTGCTGGCTGAGGACACGGTGCCAGCATGGGGGCAGGTTTCCAGGCTAGTATGCTCTGGCTTCAGTCCTATCAGCATTTCTGTTCTTAATAAATGCTCCCATTGCCTGAACATCTAGCCCCTGGCTGGGTGTTGGGCTGGCATTTCTCTCATTGGTCACCACAGTCTGCAAGGCCACCGCAGTTTCACAGATGGAGAAAAAGAGTCCTAGAAGCTGGATGCCATCCCAAGGCTGCACAGGTGTGATGGCAAAGCCAGCTGAAGCCAGGTCTGCTGGGCCCCGGGGATGTCTTTCTCCCTGGACGGTGTTTTTTCCTAGTGAAGTTAGTGACAGCTTCTTTGCAGATGTAGGAATGACCCCGCACGTGTGCAGATGTCACAAAACTGGGAAGACCCGTGTCCATGAGGGATGCAGAGGCTGGGTCCAAGCAGACCGCGTCTGGCTGGACAAAACCTCAGAAGAGGGGGCAGAGCTGCGAGGTCCTGCAGTGTACTGGAAGGGCCAGTGCCAGCTCACGGCTCTGCAGAGAAGGCGCCCACTTAAGAACTGTGGTCCAGAGTGATGCAGCAAGAGCTGCTCTCTTCTGCGCCCTATAGCCCAGTGGTCAGCAAGCACCTTGTTGTCCTCACCTGCTTTCTGGGATAATTACACCCAGTGTGCACTTCCTGGGAGACAGGAAGCTGCACCTATTTGTGGGACCAAAGACTCACGAATATGGCACTTGCTCCCCATCGAGGTGCTCACTTCCTGGGAAGGATTAGACAGACGGGGCCGGGATTCCGCCTGGGGCTCTGGGCTTGGTCAACCATCTGCCCGCCCCAGGACCTGAGGTTTGCGTCTTCAGGGTCAGAATCAAGCCTTCCTTCCCTGCAGGGTTTTCGTGGCCACAGAAGGGATCCAGTGAAGTCTGGGATCCGTCCAGCTCACTCTTGCAGCTACACCGTGTGTGACTGCCTGCTTGCGTACCTTCCCCGGGGGATGGTTTCTCATCAAGGGGAAATCTTAATTCTCAGTTGAAAAGGTTATGTGGATTCTGCAGTGGTGGCTTCCCATGTTGCTGTCACTTCACAGAACTTACATGGGAATAAACAATGAAAACTCGACCCCTCCCCAAACCGGTGATTTCTAACCCTGGCCCAGGGTCTGCCTTCTCCCACTGTTGGTGTTAATAAGGCTTTAAGGGGGAATGAGAGTGTTGCCATCTAGTTTGACACTGAAATAAAGATTAGCCACCATTCACCTTTATTTTAAAAGAAAACCCTTGAAACCCACCCCCTGCCTTTCTTCTGTTGCCAAAACTCCAGCTCAAGAAAGCAGACTGTCTCCTGGAGCCGATCAGCATCACTAAAAATAGCCGAAGCAGGGGTCGAGTTTTCTAAGGAGGAATCCATGGCGTGCCCGGGCTGGAGGGAGGGGAGAGCAGAAACCCATCCAGCGCTCAGGTCGTGAAAGGCTTAGTGAAAAAAGAAGTCAGTTGGGAAAATATTATATTATAAACACATATAATAATATGTACACACATATACATCCCAAGAGAAGCCGTACAGGGAATTCCGTTTCTTTTGAAAAGAAGGCTTCACTATGATAAAGCATTCCTATAGTGGGAATTAACTACAATGAAATAATTTAAGAATCTCCTTTATACTATATCTGCGTTCACTATGGCAAGTCTATGCTACAAGCTGTGCGGAAGGTATAGCTGGATTAGAACAGTAATGCGCTCTTCAAAAATAGGCAATGCCATTTTCCTTTTCTTTCTATTCACATTTAAAATAACTACACAGTGATAAAACACAATTAAAAATCGGGTGGAGGGCGTACGGACCACAGACTCATGGCTCCTGCACCTGTTCCTTCCCACGTTCCACTGAGCTGAATTAAGGTTAGAAATGTCCATGAGACACTGACCCACATATAAATTCTGCGTAAAGCTTTATTTTTTTTTCCCTACCTAATTTTTCTTTTTTTAAAAAGTTGAAGAAGAGGAAAAACTCTTACAAAATAGAAGCTTTACTATATGAGAGCACGGGGTTTCCCCAGAGGCTGCCAGGCGAATGTGGCCCTGTGTTCCTGTAGCTACGTCAGGCTGCTGTCGTCCCTCAGGGAGACAAGCCTGTCCCCCCCCACCACCAGAGGGCTGGAGGCTGAGTCTTTTCTTTTTAACCTCAGGTGTCATGATTTGGGTTACTATGTTTGGCCACCACGTTGAGGACGGCTGAAGTCTGAGGCAGCCCGAGACCAGGATGACAGCAAATCAGGTGATGGACTGAAGCGGAAGGCCTGGCCACTTAGGAAAAGTCTTCCGGATGCTCATGAGCCACAGAACGGTGGGAGCACGGGGGTCTGGTATTCAGACAATTACCCCCTCCCCTGCCATAGCCCCTTCCTCTGGGTTGGCAAAAGCAGTGTCCGATCTAGATCCGTCCCTTCGCTATCGAGGAATGACCTGCTTCTTTCCCCTCTCTCATCTGCTTCAGTGTCTTTTCTTTTTTTTCTTTTTCGATTTTAATAAGCAAATTGTACCACGATCTTATTCTGCTATGTTCCTTTTTAAAAGCTGTAGATCACATTAATGGAAGTGTTTACTGCTGGGAATCTTTCCCATGTACAATGATCTGTAACCCTCTTCTCTCAACTAGTTGCATATTATTAGTTCATATCCAGTTCAATTTATAAATTAACAGAGGTGCCATTTGTCTGTACAAAAATCAATGCATATTTATGAACTTCTTTTATTCAAATAGATTTTCACACATCTTATCTAAAGACACAATACAGAAGCCTGTGTGACTTGGGCAACGTGGCCCAGGAGTGACTAGGACCCAAGACATCCACCTTGGCCAAAGGACATAAAATCTCTCTCGTGTTCAGGAAAAAAAAATAGCCTTCTGTGCACGGACTTAGTTTACGAGAAGCACTCGCCAGGTTATTATTAGCTGAATTCGTGATTTCCTTTTGAATTTCGGAGTGACTCTTATTTATTTTTTCCCCCATTTGTTTTTGCACCAAGGAGAACGCAGTCCGATAATACTCAGCGACTGATTTCTTCTCTTTGGACTGAAAAATTAAACAGATACTAAATTATGACAGTGAATTTAGAAAGGAGGGCTCCAAGGGCTGGAAAGAACATGTCTGGGATAATCGGATGCTTCTAAGAGTATTGCAATCACATCACGGCAATCATCGGAGCGTGCGGCGTAGCTACCGCCTTGGCTAATATGCTTTCTTCTCGGTGATGACTAATCACGTCCTATTAAACAGCGGTAATGCTGGAAGAACTCAACTATACAAGTGTAATGAAGCCAGTATTCTCCCTGGACAGATTAGCTCCAACTGATTTGACACATACCATCATAGGGGCTTCAAACCTGACAAACTCTGCTTGCTTCTGATTTATGCCGTCAAGCTCCTCGGAGAAGAGATGAAACCCAAGCGTTCCGTTTGGTAGAGGTGAAATGTACTGATGGGCTTAACTGCCAGTTAAGGAGAGGTACCCCCTCTCCCCACGCCTTGCCTCCCCTCCCCCCCGCCCCCCGCTCGTCCCATCCCTTGTGCCGTGCTCTGTCTACGGGCCACGGGGACGAGGTCCCGCGCCGCCGTGTGCTATCGTCAACCCACTCGGGCCCGCCGGTCGCTCCTGTTTGTCGATCGGAGGGGTGGTTTATGGAAAGGAATCGAATCTGCAGCCTCCTCTTCTCCTCTTCGCCCCCTGAGGACTGTCCAGGTTTGGTGATTTTGCTCGGGGTGGGGCGGGTGGCAGGTGGCCACCAGGAAGAGCGAGGGGACGCGACGGGACTCACGTGTTGTAACATCCGGGGGAGGGCGCTGGAGGCTGTGGCCGGCCCGGGCGTGGCGGGGCAGGCGGGCCCCTCAGATGATGGTGGGCACCCGGCCACTGCTGTTGTTTCGGTTATTATTCTTCCTGGACAGGTTGGGGGTGGCCATGAGCACAAAGCGCTCATCCGGGCAGCCGTACTGCAGCAGGACGTCGATGCACTCCTGGCTGGAGGCCTGCCGCGCGTAGGCCAGCGCCGTGTTCCCGTGGGCGTCGCGGGCCATGACATCCACCCCGTACTGCGGAGGCAACAGAGCCCACGTTAGCATCACGGGGGTGGAAGGCACGGCTGCCAGGGGGGCGACAGAAGGAGGGGACAGCCTCTTTCTTCAACCTCTGTGCGCAGCCTGTGCACAGATACGTACCCGCTGGGGACGGGCTGCAGATGACCCAGGTAGGGAGACCGAAGGTCACGTGTGGGTGGCACAACGTGGCCCTGCGGTGTATTCTTTTAAGGAAAGGATGAGCTTTTTGCAACTAAAAGCCCCTCCTTTGTGCAAGAGAAAAGGACCAATGAGAACCCAAGTTTTGCTATTTCTATTTTGACTTTCCAAATGTGAAAACAAAAAATACTCACTTTTTTGATCTCAGAGGCAATTCATTTTCATTGTAGGAAATACACAGGTAATGATATAAGCACACCAAGAGAAAAAGTCACTTATAATCTCGCTCTTCAGAGATAACCTTGGTTAATAGTTCAGTGTATTTCCTTCTAATGCTTTTTCTTTGAATCTAAACGCCTATATGTGTCATTGAGATAAAACATACAAATAATTTGCACCCCCTTTTTTTTTAGTGAGGAAGATTGGCCCTGAGGTAACATCTGTTGCTAATCTTCCTCTTTTTAAAAATTTTTCCTCCCCAAAGCCCCAGTACATAGTTGCATATCCTAGTCGTAAGTCCTTCTAGTTCTTCTATGTGGGACGCTGCCACAGCACGGCTTGATGAGCAGTGAATAGGTCCACGCCCAGCATCCAAACTGGCGAACTCTGGGCCGCCAAAGCGGAGCACAGAAACTTAACCATTACGCCACTGGGCTGGCCCTACTTTTTTTCTTTTACTGAGCATTGTACTCTGATCAGCTTGTCACGTCATTAAAAATTATTCAAAAACATGACATGTAATAGCCATATACTATTCCTCCATGTAAACATAATTCAGTTACTCTGTCCTCAGTTGTTGCATATAGTGTTTAAAAATAGTTACTGGGGGTGCCAGCCTGTTGGTGTAGTGGTTAAATTCACACACTCCACTTTGGTGGCCCGGGGTTTGCAAGTTCGGATCCTCGGCGCAGAGCTAGCACCACTCATCAAGCCGTGCTGTGATGGCATCCCACATACAAAATGGAGGAAGACGGGCACCCACGTTAGCTCAGCGACAATCTTCCTCAAGCAAAAAGAAGAAGACTGGCAACAGACGTTAGCTCTGAGCCAATCTTCCTCACACGCAACACAAAAATTCCCACTGGTATAAACAGTGCCACAGGATGCTGTGATGGACAGCCTCACATTGAATCTTTCTCAGGAGCTCTGATTATTAGGGTGATGACTAGAAGGGGAAATACTAGGTTAAATTACACAAACATTTTTTAAGCTTCTTGTTCTGGGAAAAGGGTGGATTGACTTCCACTTCCACCACGATGGACGGGAGTCTCACCACTCTCTTGTCAGCAGGGAGCCGCACCATCAGAGGAACTCTTGGCTGATTTGAGACGGAAAGATGGCATGTAATTTTCTTATGGACTGAACTGTGTCCCCCCAAATTCACATGATTGAAGTCCTAACCCCCAGGACTTTGGAACATGCCCATATTTGGATCCGGGGCCTTTAAAAAGGTAATTAAGGTTAAATGAGGTCATACAGGTACAGCTCTGATCCAACAGGACTGTGTCCTTTCAAGAAGGGGAATGCCCGGGCACCGAGGAGAGGCCACCTGAGGTCACAGTGAGAAGACGGCCGTCTTACAAGCCAAGCAGGGAGGCCTCAGGAGAAGCTGACCTTGCCCTCACCTTCATCTTGGACATCTGGCCTCTGGAACTGTGGGAAGTAAGCATCTGTGGCTCGAGCCGCCCCGTGTGTGGATTGTGTTAGGGCGGCCTGAGCTGACTCAGACACAAGTGTTAAAGCGAAGCTGGACGGTTGAATGATTTTGGTACCCATGCATCTAATTCTCCCATGATACCCATCACAAAAGTCAGATGCTGGCATCATGCTCAGCTGTGTGCGACAGACGCATCCCTGCCCTGGGGGTGGAGACAGAAGAGCCTCAGGGGGTGACCCACCTCTAGGCAGTGTCCCGCTCCTGGTGAGCAGACACCTCCCCTCCCTACCCAGGAACCCTCTCGGGGGACCCTTTGCTGGGGACCCGCCATGGCGAAAGACCCCAAAGGTGTGCAGGCAGCCCCGTGTGGGGTGTGTGGGCTTCTCAGGAGCAGCTCCTGGCCCACGTGGCCGGGGCCTCCCTTTACAATCCCTTTCTTCCTTTCTTCTCCCCATTCGAGCTGCACGACAGATGCTTCAATAGAAATTTAAAACATAATCTTCCCAGTAGAAATTCCTCAGAATGGTCCAGAAGAAGCCCTTTGACAAACTCCTAGCAGATTAAAGCTCCAAGCTGTGGGTCTAGGATTTTTGGGTTACATGAATGAAAAAAGCAAAAATTTGGTAACGGGAAAACTATATAAACTATTCATCTCCACGCTCTCCCTATACCCCCCAAAAAAGATGATGGGAGTTTTCTGTAAAAGGATCAAGAGAGACACCACCAGCCATGCTTGACCCAGGGGGTAATGGAAAAGATGAACTTTGCAGAAACTCTAGCAGATGCTATGCAAACGGACCACGGGCTCCACCTAAGGAGAGCATGCCACACGGACTTCATGCCTCCCTTTATCAGACCTTCTAGAGGTGACTTCACACAGGCGAGTCCAAAAGGCAGGGCCTCCCCTCTGAGCTCCTGAACTCCCTACTCATGACGGCTTCCCATTTTCAGGTTAGTAAGGAGAGCCTTCCGCCAGAAAGATGCCCGAGCAGCAGCACAGAGCGCCCACAGGGACTCCATCCTCCGCCGGGCACCTGGGCGACCTACCCAGATTAGGAGCTGGGCCAGGACCACGTTCCCCTTCCGGCAGGCCAGGTGCAGCGCCGTGCGGCCGTCGCCCTCCCCGCAGGTCTCGTTCACCTCGTCCCGGGAGCCATGCGCCAGCAGCAGGATGACGGCCCGCAGGTCCTCGTCAGCGGTGGCTCGCAGCAGGTGCTGGCCCAGGGACAGCTCCGTGCACGGCAGCGGGGCCAGGAAGAGCTTCTGCTCGTACTTGGCCCGGATCCACCGCTCCTTCTCTTCCCTGCAAGAGCCACCAGACAGGTGTGGTCACAATCAGGCAGGACAACCAAGGCACAAGCCCTCTGTCCTGGAACGCACAGCACCGAGGGGGCAGTGAAATAGCAGGAGACAAGTGTCTTTGCTAAGAATAAGGAAGCCCCCTGGGAAAGGTTTATCTATGGTTCACAAAGTGGGGTCCCCTACCAGCAGCATCAGCACCGCCTGGGAACCTGTTAGAACGCAGATTTTCAGGCCCCCCCAAGTCTCCCTAAGTCTGAACCCCTGTGTTTTAACGAGCCCTGCAGGGAATTCTGATGACCTAAGGTGTGAGGACCAAGGACGCCCACAGCCTTGAGCTCTCATCTGATTTCCTTTGCTTTTGTGCAGAAGTGGTGGCCTGGAGGAACGTCCCTGCTCCCTGGGATGCGGCCCAATGCAGGACAACGCCACAGGCCCAGAGGTCTTTTCTACTGTAAGCAGTGACAACTGAGTCAGGATTAAACGACATTCCGCTGGAGTTGTGGGGTCAAGAGAGCTGCTGGGCTCCCCCTACCTGGGCACGACCTCTGTTCTCAGCTGTTAACCCACCTGCCCCAGAGGGGGTGTGTGTGAGCTCCCCGGGGTCTCTAAATGCTTCCAGTTGAAGAAAACATTGCTATAGACCCACATGCGAAAGGGCAGAGGCTCCGATGGGGAGGTTCAGAAAAGACATACAAACTAAACTCAGTTGCCCTGCGCATTGCTTTCATCTCTCAAGACACTTGGGAAAGGCTGAAGTGGAGAATGTCAAGAATTCCTTGGGGCCGACCCTGTGGCCGAGTGGTTGGGTTCACGAGCTCCGCTTTGGCGGCCCAGGGTTTTGCTGGTTCGGATCCTGGGCGCGGACATGGCACTGCTCACGAGGCCATGCTGAGGAGGCGTCCCACATGCCACAACTAGAGGGACCCACAGCTGAAAATACACAACTATGTACCGGGGGGCTTTGGGGAGGAAAAGGAAAAATAAAATCTTTCTTTTTTTAAAAAAGAATTCCTTAAATGACAAGGAACGGCTGGGTTTTCTAGGAAAGTGTCCTACGGCCCAGCCTAGGATACAGGCAGGTGGCCCCCTGATGCCAGAGCTGAGGCAGGGGTGTGGAGGAGAGGACAGAGGTGGGGAGGGGAGGGTGGTGGCCTCAGGCATGCAGAGAGCGAGGATGATGGCAGCTGGTGCCCCCTCCCCCAATGGCACAACCCGTTGAGAATGAGCTTCCTGAGCTGGGTGGGTATGATCACAGACTCCTTTCCCCCCTGAGGTCTGATGGGGAGAGGAAGCTGCCTGTGACATCTGGAGGGAGGGCTGAGAAAAAAGAGGAGGGGGCAGGAAGGGAAGAGGAGCTAAAAAAAAAAGCAAGCAAGGTGTGTTTGTATTGACCCAAAGGAAAGGACCCCAGGAATCTCCGTCTCACTGTGGCTACTGATGGTGGATTTTGGTTTTGGTTTCTCAAAAAAAGGGCACAAGAGATACCGAAACCAACTCAGCCATGCTCAAGACTGCAGCACTGCTGGGAAAAAAAAAAGGGCCAAAAAAAAAAAAAAAAGCAAAAGGCGGAAGTGAGATTTCACAAGTAGTTCCTGAATTGGAAGAGTCAGGAGAACAGAGTGGGGAGGAGAGCTCTGTTAAGCCGGACAGATGCTTTCTGATGAGGACGAGAAAGAAGAAAGGAGAGCCCCACAGATAAGAGGTGACTGTAATTACCCACCAAGACGTAGAGAACACACTGATTCACAATCGCCTTCCCCTAAAATTCGGCATTTTCTCCGGGAGCATCGTCAGGGTACATAGCTACGACTGCACAGAGAAATCCCGCAGGGCCCCCGGGACACTCTAGAAAGAAAACTCATTACCAGGGATGGTTTTTCTTCTCGAGGACAGGAAAAAAGGCCTCGTTGACACCTTTTACCCGTGTTTACATTGCGGCCAGTGATCCAGTGTCGGGTGAGCCCTAATCTGTTTTTAAATACTTAGGCAAACAAATTCTTCCAGGAGTAAATCTGGATTAGTTTTGCTTCACTTCCTGGTCCGTGTGAGTGACCCCAGGGTGACCCCCGACACTTTTCATTCGGAGATTTCCAGGACAAACACTTGGCTACAGCTGAGAACCCCCAGCAGCACCCACAAATGCGGCGCAGCTCGGAGGCAGCCCGCACGCTGTCCCCACTTGGGCCGAAACACAAGCAGAAAAGTGCCACCGCGTCTCGGAAACCCCGGGGAGGGCGAGGGATGATCCCCAATGCACCGTGTTTTTTGGGTTACTTAAAAACCTTATTTCAAAAGTATTAACCACATCCTGATGCATTTCACAAAAACACCAAAGAGAAAGAGCACAACGTGAATTAAATGCAAAGGGACAATGTTGAAGGCTACATCTGATTTTCAAATCGCAATCACTAACTCTCGTCTTCTGGCAGGCGTTAAGATCAGAACTGTGATGTTCTGCTCTGGCTGATTTTAACACTCATTGCCAAACCATCCAGGGAAAAACCGAAGAACCAAATGCAGAAACGATAGTCCTAACAGCCATTATTCCATTTTCTTTTTAATATTTGAATATCCGGGCCAAAGAATGAGGACGAGCCCCCAGCTTCCGGACCGTCTCCCGGTGTCAGTGGGTTCTCATGGGGACGTGGGGGTGACTTTCTGTCCTCGGCTCTGTCACGCCACGAACGAGCGTATCGGAATGCACTGAAATCGACACGCATCTGAATGATTATTCTGTTAAAACTGTTCTTCACTTTTAAAAATCAGTGTTGTTTAGGGGCTGGCCCCCGTGGCCAAGTGGTTAAGTTCGCGCACTCTGCTGCAGGTGGCCCAGTGTTTCATTGGTTCGAATCCTGGGCGCGGACATAGCACTGCTCATCAGACCACGCTGAGGCAGCGTCCCACATGCCACAACTAGAAGGACCCGCAACGAAGAATATACAACTATGTACCAGGGGGCTTTGGGGAGAAAAATGAAAAAAAATAAAATCTTAAAAAAAAAAAAAATCAGTGTTGTTTACAATACACGATAAAGGCAGGTCCAGGTTTTGTGGCTGAAATGCATACTATTTTGGGAGCCTTCCTGAAGAGAAGACTCAACATTACATATACATTAGGAACAGGGCCACGGAGAGGGTTCATGCAAAGCCTAGGCTTTGCTGGTTTCACAGGGCACCCCCCTGTGATACCACAGGAGTGGGAGCAGGGTGACCATTATTGATAAGGACTTTGGAACCTCCAACAACTCAAACACAGGAGCAGGCTCGGTGCTCTGAACTGTCCCTGAGGAATACTGCAAGGAGACAAAACAAAGTGGCCTTCTCGGTGGGTTCTGCCCCTCCCAGCTCCACGTCCACGTGGCCCCTCCCTCCACCAAGGACGCCCCAGTGTGGCTTTTAGTATCTGAGGGATCAAAGCGCCTCACCAAAACTTCTCGTGCTATTTAAACACAAGCTTTCAATGCCGGCCTTTGGGACGTGCAGGACTGCAACGCTTCCGTGTGTTCAGACACCAGGAGGAGACCAGAAAGCTAAGGGAGGCCGCTGGGCTTGTAGCCTGGGTCAGGCTTTCTTTTTAGCACTGAAATCCAGCTAGTAGGCACAAAGGACTCAGACGTGCACATCTGGGTGTTCTGGGTGCTAATTCAGCAACTCCCACTCATGCGTAAACATTTATTATTATTTAGAGACCGTCTCCTATGGTGGTTGCCCCCCTGACAAATTAGGGGAAAGCTTAATTCTGTGTGCTTTCTGCAGTGGCCAAAGGGAGGGACGAGAGAACTGATGTTGGACCAAAGGCCGCAGTTCTGGGCATTAGAGAGACTGGGGTTTGTGTGCCCGCCTCGTTCTTCTTAGTGGAGCAGACTTTTGCGACTGCAGTTAACCCCTTGGACTCTTCTCTCCTCATCTGTAAAATGGGCACAGTGATGTCTACAGCAGGCAAGGTGGTTTTGGGATTTGGGGTCACGTGTCTGGAGGATGGGCCGGCTGCCGCGGTCACTCCACAAATGGCAGCTCCTGGTGTTATTACGATTGAAGAGAATAACGTATCTAAGGCTTCACATTGCTATCAGGCATGTAAGAGCTCAGCTGTGGGGGTGGGTGTGTGTGACAAGAGGCGCTGGTGGCACCGGGGTGGGGGCTGAAATGCCTGCTGGGTGCTTTAGGTTTCTGACTCCCGCCTGTCTGTAGATAAGAACTTCACATGGTCAATGCGCTCGGCAGGGTGAGGTGGGGACCCTGAGCCGGGGGTCTTGACAAACCTATCGGCGTCTTGTGAATCCCCCCTCCCAGGGTACAGAGGGGCCCAAGACGCTGGGATGAGGGGGGCTCAGCCGGTTTAAACAACGCCATGGCTGTCAGGCTCTTTGGGGCCAAAACTGGTCGGCCCCTGCCCACAGCTTTGAGATGTTTAAAGTCTTCCTAAATGTTGTGGACTGAACTGCGCCCCCCCTCTAAAGTTCCCATGTTGAAGGCCTAACCCTCAACGTCACTGTATTTGGAGGCAGAGCCTGTAGGAGGTAATTAAGGTTCAATGAGGCCATAAGGGTGGGGCCCTAATCTGAAGGGACTGGGTCCTTATAAGAAGAGAGGGACACCAGAGCTCACTGTCGGTCACCATGTGCACACAGAGAAAAGGCCGTGAGACTATCCAGGGAGTGGGCACCACGTGCAAGCCAGGAAGACGCTCAAGAGAAACCAACCCTGCTGTCACCTTGACCTCGGACTCTCAGCCTCCAGCACTGTGAGATAGGCGTCCTTTAAGCCACCCAGTCCATGGCATTTTGTTACGGCAGCTCGAGCCGACTAAGACACTGGACAACGACATTCTCCCTCATTCTCATTTGGCTTCTGTGCCAACCGTTAACACGTGAAAGATGGACACTCGGACAATGATTCCCTTTCTGCGAGAAGCTTCTGTCTAAAACCGTTTGCCCCAAGAAATCACGAGGCCAAAGCACAAACACTCTAATCGTTACTCTGATGTCCCAATCTTACTTCT